TTTTTGTTTTCTTTAATAATGAACCGCTATTATTATTATTACTAATATTAATTTGTAAAGACTGAGTTTGTTTTTCCTTGGAAATGCACTACTATCTTACCTGCCAACCGCCCATATGATAGTCAGCTGGAAGTTTCGGTGTCGGTTTCGATTTCGGTCGCAACTAAAATTGGCCCGAAATTACGGTTTCGGTTTCGGCTAAAGTATACTACTTATTTGCCTGTTTTGACATAAAGTACGTTTCTTTCCATATATTTTATGACCCATCACAAGATAGCTAAAATGAAGAGTAGTGAAATTGAGGTAGCTGGGTGCCATCTTTTAATGGAGTGGAGGATCACGTGATACTTTATTTTGAAGCTCCTTTTAAAAACTTACATTATGATATGTTATATCAGTCTTCTTCTTAGTTAGTTACCTAAATGTCCAATTTAATATAAGACATTCAGATTAAAAAAATTACAGATTTTGACCATTTTTCAAATATCTTATTACATATTCGGATAGACCCCACAGAAGAAAATGAATATACCATACCGTTCTGGCGACCCTCATTCCATTTGAAAAAATGGCATCTAGCCGCTATCGTGAAATTTTCAACTGTCTCCTTTTTGTTAAAATACAGTTTCATTGCCTCAAATTTCAACTTTCTGACTTGATAAATTTCAAAAATAAGTGGGGGCCTTCAATGCGATACAAAATGAGTATTAAAGCTCCAAAAACAGGTTTAAAATGTGCCACTCATACAGAGATATTGTCACACATATCGATATTCAATCCCAAAAAAGATGACAGTGTTGTAGGTCCGTAGCTGGAATTAAAGCTTTGCACCTAGGACTCTATTTTTCTGAGCTCTCCCGTTAAGAAACCTCCAGACCGTCACAACGGAGCAACAGTCTAAAACTTGACCTTGTCTAGAACGTGATCAGTAATCCTTACCATTTGAAACATTATCTCGCTGTTCAAACAAAATGAGAATATTGAGACAAAAATAGGAAGCGGCCGTCGTTCGAAAATTATAGAAAGAGATAAGCGCGCTCTTCGTGCAATTATTAAAGAAGATCGCAGAGCTGCGTCGAGAGAAATAGCTGTAAAATGGTCACATGCGATTGGTAAAAGAGTTTCAGAGTTTGAGAACGATCAAAAAAATGGGATATTCATTCTACAAAGTAAGTTGTAACTGTCACTGTCTTTCTTGAGAACAAAAATGAAACCGACTTCAATGGGCAAGAGAGCATAAAAACTGGGTGCAACATCAATAGGACTCAGTTATCTGGAGTGACGAATCCAAGTTTGAAGTATGTGTTGGCGATTCACGTAGCAGAATTATCGGCATACGAGGAGAAGAATATCATACCAAATATCTCAAGAAAAAGATTAAATTTGTCTGTAATGGTATCGAGATGCATGTCTTCACAAGGAGTCTTCTTTTCATTGATGGCACCGTTAATGCTGCTAAATATAAAATCATTTTACAAGAAGAACTGCTGCCATCCACTGACATGATCCAACTACGAGAAGGTGGATTCATATCTCAGAAGGATGGTGCAGCATGCCATATAGCTAAAAGCATAACATCCTGGTTACAGGAAATAAATATTTCTTTTCTAGAATGGTCTTCAAATTGAGACCCTATAGCACCAAATGCTAAAAGCACTTCGAACTCCTCCAGCCCGCACCATTCCCAAATTAAATCACAAACTTCAGGTAATTTGGGATAATTTTAAACCAGAATACTGCAAAACATTGGTAGACACTATGCCAAGAAGAATCGATGCTGTATTAAAGCGAAAAGGGCACTCAGTGGTAACCTTCCAAAAACGTTTAGTCCAACTAACATGCGCCAATTTGTTTTGTTATGTTTATTATTGTAGTTTAAAAACATGACAAATATTGTTGATTACTTATTAATAATACATAGTTTCAAATTATCTAAGTTGTTTTTGTTCAAGTTATTTTGAATAAATAAAAATTAGTTCACAAATACAACATTCTATAAATATTTTTCGTTGGGCCAACTCAAATGCGACTGAGCTCGTATATGTACATTCCATGTATATACCATTCTCCAAAATGAGGTTGCCGACCAGAAGTGGTGACTGCCTTATTTTCAAAAGTGGTTCGTTGACACCGATTAGCGTACACATCCACCATTTTTGGAAAATCTAAGGAATAATTCCTTCAAACTTATACAATATAATTTGCCTCCTAAGTTCGACGTTTTTCTATTTAACAGAGAATTAACATATACTGTTGAGTCGGAGGCAAACTCAAAATTATTACGGTTACACAACAAGGAATTCATATGCGTTCCGTAATAACGGCTGCCGAATAATTCCAAGTCAAACGTTAAACGAAACTTCCGACTTGCTGAAGTTCCGGGTGGGGAAGTTTCCTGCAACGTTTTGTAAATAATCAGTGGCATAACATTCTACGTATTTCATAACGCGATCTTCCAATATAATTTTCATGATAGTTTATTGGTACAATGTAGTGGACCAAGTCTAGTAGGTCGAAGAGAACTACTGAAATCGCGGCATGCTGTGATTCAGCTATTGTGAATTCCAAGACTAAGGCAGAGATGATATCCTTGATATTTAAGTGCCATCGACCGGAGTTTTCCCTACACTATGAGGGTGCTCTAGTCACTCATTAAAGCTTCGGTCCCAACCCTGCTATCGTGTGGGGTGTGCCCCTGGGCTTGCCCTCGTGTATTTACGTTTCTATCATACGTCTTACGATATTGGCATTTTTTTCAAGTTGCGTGTGTTTACTTAGATTCAGCCTATCCCAATCAGCAAGCATACAATTTGTTTGTAACCAAAATTGCATAGTATTGACTACGTAAGACTGATTATTGAGTCAGAATGGACGTTCATACTAAAGTCGTTCAGGCATTGAATTCGAACCTTTCTGCGAAAATATATAAAAGTACGTGTGTTCCATACAATCTCACTAGTGTTTCATATAGTTGCCGACAGTGGTGGATTGCAAAAAGCAGTTTAAGCTGAATAAGAACAAATCTGCGTATCGATAAATGTTATAAAAGCCATTCGCTTCGCCAAAGACGTGTGCCTCAAGATTGGGCTTCTACTTTGACGGTTATAAAATAATTTTGACTTATTTTATTCCTCTTCTTATTTCATTGAGCAATCAGTCCCAATCTAAGCTTTGATAACAACAATGGGTACTGAAAAGGGCCAATCGAAACTTTAATCTAATTAAAGAAAGGTAAAATTTAGGTTTAAATAGTTTAAATATGAATCTAAAAGTTCTTTCGCGTTATAATTAGTAATTTTACGATCTCATGTTAGTGCCATAAAATCCTATGGAGGAATCCCAGTACGCCCAAAAAAACTATATATATCAAATTCATCAAAATACTAAATTTAATTTCCATAATGTTCAAGTAGGTATTTGCATTTAGCAAGAATCTGCTCGGATCACGACAACTATTGAGAAAAACCGAGCAAAATACATGCGAGGTGTCCCACTACTTTCAATCTCAGGTATTCTGCCATTGTTCCTGTTTGATGGAGAGAATTTTTCGTATTGTTCACCTCCCAAAATCGCGAATTAAGCAGGATTGTTCGTATTATTTACCGTTAATAAATGCATACTTACATTAATTTATTTGCCTTATTAAATTTGTCCCTGTTTATTAATGATAACACAGCGATTCATAGTGGCAAAGGTAGACAAATTAGTCAAAACTACACAATTTTGACGTCAAACAAGGCAATTTTAGCATATAGGCTTGGGCACTTCTGATCTATTCGAATTCGTTGATTCCCATAGAGGGTCGAAGACTGTCTAATAATCACAGTCCTAAAGTTCTGCTTTCATCAAAATTACCGCTTCACTAGCGACCATCAGTATGGTCTTCGACATAAGCGAGGAATTGGAGGCCACCTAGCTTACATCTAAGAATTGTGAACTTCGGAAATTCATTGGAGCTGATGTGATTGTTTTTGATACCACTAGGATTCCCATCTTGCTCTCCTATGGAACCTTCCGTCTGATGACCTATCTTTGCAGATGGGTGCTCAGCTAACTGTCTTCCTGATGGTAAGATGTCTGTACCACAATGTCAATGCAGGCTGTCTTCCAATTCACATCCTCGCGAATGACGATACTTTATAGGCATTCATAGTGCCAGACCGATTTATGATGTTGAAAAAACTAATAGCGATTTCCTCTCTGGTCAAAAACCATGACGTCATCGCTGCCGGTGGAGCAGTAGTTGAATTCGCAATGCTGCAACTCAAGGATATATACGAAGAAGTCAAACTGATGGGCAACGAGAAGCGAGAAATTAAGTTGAACGGGATCAAAGGACTGAAGTTCAACAACGTAGAAATATCCCATTTAATCCCAATTCAATTATGACATGACAATGGATTACAGTTCACAACAAATCGTTGCTATTGGACTCCATTGGTGCGACCACTAGAGCCACTCAGGGCCGGTCTTTCTGGGTATACAGTGAATGCCCCGCTCGCAGGCTCCAAATTTATAGGGGCGCCAAATATTTATTTATTTGGTTCACGTTCCAAAAATATTTTATTTAATATTTTCCGTTCCGAACCCTGAGATAGATGTCATTTGAATAGCCCTCAGTACCCTGGAGTAGATGCGGATAATGCAACTTTGTAGGCGTCTGCGACAATATGTCTACTTTTTTCATTTATTATGTTCGCTACACTAGCCACGACATATTCGCCAACACTAGTTTGTTCGCAAGCACGTTTATTGTGAGGTGGCTAATAAACTGCTACAAAGAAGTAAATAAAAGAGAAAACTAGCACATCTTAATCAATCTAAGGTCACTTGCACACCACATTTTTTTATTTAGGCGCCGTCGACGCGTATTTCACGCAATCGGAACGCGCTGTAAGCGCAAAGTGATCACAATATGCAAGTGCCCTAACAATAATTCGAAATTGAGAAATTTCTTTGTGATGAGATCTATTAGCTAATTGATATTTTTTTCTCTTCAGTAATAACCGAAATGAGCGAAGACAGTAGGAAAAAAATATCTAGAGATCGATATAAAAAACGCGGACTGGAAATGGAGGCGCAGCGGAAAAAACTTAGTAGATCGCTGACCAAATTCCTAAAACCGAACTGTTCATCGCCGAATCTACTTCCAAATCCAACTGCAGGGCCAGTGATTATTAACGATCAGCAACCATATACCTCTGAAATACTGATTCCACTCCATTCACATTCTGAATTAAGTATTAAGTACCCCAGTAAGTGAAGATACATAAGCTGCTGTGCCCATGCCCGATATTGATATTACTGATCACTCTACATGGCCGAATCAATTAAACCATCATCTAGTTCAATCAAATTATGGAAAATTTTCATGTTGATGAAATTCTCATCCACTCAATATTTAAGGTGGTTACCAAACGGCGGAAAAGTTAATAGGGACTGGTTGGTGTATTCTAAAAAAATTTTTTGTAATGTTTATAACACCTTATCTCATAAATTAACCACTGGCTATTTTAATTAATATTTTTCGTCATGTAAATAGTATGGAGCATATGAAATGCGCTCAAAAATGGCACGAGCTAAAGCTGCGTTTAAGAAAGCACTATTGATAAAGAACAACAAAAACAGTATGGAATTGAAAAACAGCGATTTGTATTCTGCAATATTTGGCTGGTCAAAATTTAGCTTTTGAATAGAATACTGGAATTTTTTTGAAACTTGTTGAAATGATTGGCAAATTTGATCCAATTATGATGGAACACCTGGGCAACATTAGAAGGTCTAAAGAGCTGCGCCGACAGTTGCCACATTATCTGAACAATCACTTCCAAAACGAATCAATTCATTTATTGTCAAGAGATATTCAGCGAGAAATTTTGGACTCTCACAAAACAGCAAAATATTACTCAATAATTTTGAATGAATCTCCAGATGTTAGTCATGCTGAACAGCTTACTTTCATAATTCGCTTCGTTCACGGTTCTTCAAACGAAGTTGAAATTATGGAGCATTTATTGGGAGTTTTCAAAGTTTTGGATACTACAGAATTGTCAAAATTTGAAATAGATCTTTATGATATGAGAGGTCAAGGCTATGACAATAGTGCAAATATGTCTGGCAAGCATGTGGGCCTTCAAGCTCAAACTGAAAAATATAACTCCAGAGCAATGTTTTTGGCTTGTTCAGCTCATACGTTGAATTTAACTGTCAATGATGCAGCTAAAGTTTCTTAAGAGAGTATAGGTTGTTTCAATTGTTCACGAGCTGTTCAATTTTTTTCCGCTTAATCCTACAGATGGAGTACTTTAAAAAGGAATGTGACAAACTTAACTTTTAAACCAGTAAGTGAAACATGAAAGCCGAGTCAAAGTCTATATCTTAGATTTCAATTTCCCGAAATTTGTAAGAGCTTACTTGATTTGGTGGAAGATGATTCCAGGGATATGGCCACAAAACATTCAGCAAAATCAAAACATTCAAGTTCATTTGTTCTATCATAATTTGGTATGATCTGTTAACAAAGATTAATATAGTAAGTAAAACTATTAATCCAAACACCACTTTAAATGAATGCCACAAAAAAACAAAAAGTCTTATTATATATTTTACTGAAAGAAGATCAGACGAATATCTCGAGATTGTTATAGATGAGGCTGTAGCAGAAGGAGAAAAAAAAAATGATATTGAACATTGCCTTTATTGAGGCCAAGAAAGCAGAAGCGTCAGTTTTCATATGAAAGTACAGACGAATCAGTTTTGGATCCTAACTAAAAATTAAAGATAAGTTTTTATTTTACAATTTTGGACACAACCCTTTAGTATCTACAAAGACGCTTCGAGGAAATAGACAAGTGTAATGATTTATTTCATATTTTTGAGTGATTTTCGAAATCTGGAGAATATGATCAAACGGTGATGTATAGATTTGGATTTAGCTTTGAAATTCAACATGAAAAAAATGTATCTAAAGATATTGACTGTCTTGCTTGAATGAAATTTAGTCAAACAAAGTTCTCATTTTTCCAGACTCCTAATGTCCTATAATAAAATTTCGGACTTGCCCATAGTTGTTTTAAACCATATAACAAAGAAAAATCTGCAGACCTTTTTCCCAAATTTATTTATAGCCTTGAGGATATTCATAACCCTACCAATTTCGGTGAATTCTGGCGAGAGGAGTTTCTCGAAATTAAATCTTATAAAAAATTATTTAAGAACATCAATGTGCCAAGAAAGGCTGTCAGATTTGGCAATTATTTCAATTAAAAATAAAATCTGTGAAGTCATTGATCGCAATGAAATGATCGACGAGGTTGCAGCTGTGAAAGCAAGACGTGTCGTATTTTGATCAGTTTATTACTAGTTACGTACTTATAGTATCCTTTTTGTGTAATATTCCAAAATCTCTCGTTGATTTACGCATTTCTACTGTTGTGTTAACCTCCTACTGTATTGCAGTGACCTTTTTTATGTGACATTAAAAAAATAAATCCCTCAAACTGGGTGCGTTTTATTTTTCTTTCTTATATTAATTATGTGTATGACATGTAACATTATAAGAATATATTATGATATAGGCTATAGGGCATCGTAAAATTCAAAACATAGGGATGCACCAAAAATCCTGCACGCAGGAGCTCACCACGCTAGGACCGGCCCTGGAGCCACTACCTTCATTGGTTTCCAGAAATGGGCCAGATTCTATACATTTCTTTACTCATATCCAGCAATACAATAATTGCTTTCAAATCACGTCGTTTGGCGCAACAAAATTCATTCGACATAAATTCAAGGTAAGTTGATGGGGGAATGGCAGTGCCGCCAACGTATTTTGCTATCCACATGGCGGTACAAACTCTTCGCTTTACAATTACCTACATTCCATATATTTGCCCTTTTATTATACATTATTCATCCCAATTTCATAGCTAAGACAACATCTGTCAGGTGAGCTAGTTAATAATAAAAAAATCTTACGAAAAGTTCCATGTATATCCTTGCCGCTATTTTTGATAGGCTTTTGTACAAATAGAGCTCCAACATACGCGCAATTTCTTGAATCAAATAACCACGAAAAGGATATGTCATAGGAATTACAAAAACACGTTCGCGCGTTACTTAACTATGAATACCACATGTCTACTTTGTCTTAAGCAAAAGGGCATATGTACGATGTGATTTGAAAGGCCTCTAGACTTGCATACAGAAGAGAATCAGGAATCAAGTTACTTTGCTAAACTGCTACTACTCCGTATGAATACATGCGCCGTTTCAAGGAAGTATTTGTTTAGAGCGATTTGAAGTAGACATACTTCTTGCTGTCTTTGAATGGAAAATGTTCAAAATCATGCACTTATTAGATACTTACACAGGGGAGGATAAAAGGGAGATGAAATTTATCCTGATTATGCTAAATGTATTCAGGAAATCGTGCTCCTCCACGATCAACAGCATTTAATCGAATTACTAAATTGAAAACCTTGGATGTGCATACGTTCTTGACGGGGCATGCAGTGGGCGGTCGAAAACTGCTGCCAACGATTGTTAATTCTATACACAGGATAGGTTTAAAAAATAAACGAAGGACAATACGTATGAAATGGCTAACGCTATGGCCATCTAAATGAACGTTTGTTTCATATTTGGGAAAACGACTTAGGCTCTACGAAGTTATTAGCAAGGTGGGTGCCTGATTTGTTAACTTTGGATGATAAATGAATTGGACAACAGCATCTGAATAAATTTCCAAGATTAAAACTGATTATATGACCATAATCTGTGACATCAAACAAAAGAGTGTTATACAAAAGGGATATTGTTGATGAGTTGCCTGCAGGCAATTAAACATGTTGCAGTGGATTATTATAGTATAATATGCTGGCGGTAGAAATTCGGAAGGAAAGATCAGGTGGCCTGCACCTGCTCAGAAAAGTGCTCTCATAATAGCAAAAATCAGTCAATTATGTTTGGTGTTGCTTGAAAACGCGTCCTTTCAGCTTTCATTTGCTTTATTGCTTTAAAAAATTCAAGTTAATAAGTCATTACAGCCGTAGACAGGTATTTTGAAGAGTTTCCAAATCATATCTACAAGAAAGGTATAATTCAAATATGAAATCGCTAAAAAAATGTATTGACCTTAAGGAAGTTTATTATAAAGAATAACTTTTCAAACCACCTGGTACTCAGTAAAATATGACGTCAAAGACCCATTGTAGATGTAAATGAAACAGATATATTCAGCCGGTGTCGGAGAGTCGGCGACTAGACTCGCCCACCTAGCGCTTTAAACAGAGGAACTAACGGACCATTAAGAGACCCTGGATAATCAACTCCGTCGGATTATTTTGTCAGATGAAAACCTGGATCCTCCACTTGTGCTGAAATGCTTCTTGCGAGATGACAAATTTCCATCCAGGACATCGTATGAATTTAATAGGCTGACTGTATTTCCCATGGCAATATCTGGAATCTGGAATCGTAATAATGATCAAGAAAATGTGGATTTGTTGCGATGGTTAATAAGTATTACTTGTGATAGGAGCAGGTTTCCTGCTTGTAACTGTTTTCTGCTAGGAAAGTCATTGTCACTAATAAGTTTTTCGGACTGTACAATGTTCCTAGATGTTTGTTATTCAAGAAAGAGTTGATGAATAGGAAATCGAAAACTATAATTTTGTAGATGTCTACATCGGAGGGTCGGTGCAACTCAGTCTACATACAGGGTGTCGCATCTGGTACGCCATCGATAGATTTCTCGAAAAGTAGGCATACGATATTTTTGAGAATTTGGGAGTATACTAACGTCGATGGGGCAACGGCAGCTAAAATATTTTCAAGATGGTGGCACTTCCGGTTATACCGGAAGTTGAGGCCAACTTGCTTATTTTAAATTGGACACTCACTATTCGGGTTCTTCATAGAATTCTAATCATATTTCACGTTTATTGTACTATACCCAAGTCTAACCGCTTTTGACATACTTCAAATTTTATGTCAAAAATGACGTTTGCAAGCCATAAAAAAAATTTCATTTCCCCTCTGTAGAACACCTTATTGTTTAATGTGGATTGATTTTCTGGTAAACAGGGATATAGCTTAATAGACGTTGGATGATATTGCGATAATTATTTATACAGGGTGGTCAAAAAATTAGTATAAAAATTGAATGTCAAAAATTGTCAAGAGTGGATTTTTTCAAATGAAAACCCCCTATTATTACAAGTTTTTCGCATCAAGCATTAAAAATTAGAGTAACTTTATTCAGGGTTATCTATCCCAAAAATGTTTACTTTTCGAGTAATTTTCAATTTATTACTTTTCTATTGTAAAACTCCTATAAGAACAGATTTAGTTTTTTAATTAGTTGGCTATGACGGCGGGACGCGGGGAACACACAATTGCGCTCTACAAGAACATCACTTATTAAGGGGCCTACAGACACACGAACATGTATTAAGACATGAACGCACGTCGACGTTTGCGCGTTGATGTTCGCCAGTGTGTAGACAAATCTCTAGTTAAAAGACCGACGCACATGCTTTCTGTTTTCGCTTGAATTTATGCCTGCACAGACTTGTACGCGCGTGTATGTATGCCTGTGTGTAGACAAAACGTACTAATTTTCACAGACTTAATTCAGTGGCGCGACTGCATTCGTGTATTCTGTTGTTAGGAGCAGGGGGGTCAACTTAGAAGTTCATTTAGTTTTGAATTTGTCAATATGGCAGATTTGAGAAGTTTTTCCAAAGAGTTTATAACAGAGTTCATAGAACTATACAAATCCTATCCATGTTTGTGGCGAGTAAAATCAAAAGACTATATGGATCGCAATAAAAAAAATGAAGCATATAAAGTGTTGGTGCTGAAGCTCCAAGAAGTTGAGAAAAATGACAACAAAGAAATGGTTAAAACTAAAATTAATAGCCTCCGAGCTAGTTTTCGGAGAGAACTAAGAAAAATTAAAGAGTCGAGAAGATCGGGTGCTGCAGCAGATGATGTTTATATACCACATTTATGGTATTATGATCTACTTTTATTTATAAAGGATCAGGATATCCCTAGACAATCCATTAGTAATATTGAAGATGTGACAGTGAAATGGACAGTTGCCATTCAGAAATGGAAAATGAAGACGCTCTAGAACTGGAGGTAAGGCCTGATTTATTTATTTGACTTTTACTTCCCACGCCAACTGGAGAGGAAAAGAGGAAGTATTGTAATAATAATAATAATAATAATAATAATAATAAATTGCTTTTATTGCTCATGTAAGTACAGAAAAAGAAAAAGTACATAAATCTGATGCAGTGAGCAAACGGCAAGGTTCGCTTGATTGACAACCATTAGCTGTCAATCCGCGCTCTTCCACCTAACCAAATCGCGAATAATTTCGAAAATGAGGTATTATATTTTATGGATGGTATATAATATATAACACATATATATAAAAAACATGGATATGCTTGAACCGATAAAATCAAAGCGTGGGAATTGCGGAGTCAACCTACTTGATGCCATTTTTTGATTTCATGTAAGAAATAATGAAGTAGTACACATATTAATATAGAGGGTAATAAAAAATCGTCTTGATATTTTGATTCGCTTTACTTCAACTTAAGTACTTAGAAGGTATAATACATAAATTAGCAAATCATTCTTTCCTGCCAAGCTACGGATCCCTCATTATTAAAGTAGTTCAGAAATAACTGTCTAACTTCTTGTGCATCCTTGTTTGCTCTTCTATTGTAACCCGGTTGCAAACTAGTCATCTGATTTGGTTGCAAGCCTAATTCAACAGTGCCATCTTCATGGTTCTCCCTGTATAAGTTGTTATCAGGTGCATACACAGTGGCAGTTCTTCTTCTCAGAAAATTATGCAGAACACAACATGCCATCACTACTTTGTCAATTGCTTTTAAGTTAATAGATATAGCTGTGTGGAATATTCTAAATCGAGCAGAGAGTATACCGAAAGCATTCTCTACTCTACATCCTTGCCCTTGAGAGACGATAATTGAAAATTTTCTTATCATGATCCCAGTCTCTCTGGCTAAATGGTTTCAAGAAATCATAGCGGAGGCAAACGCTTCATCACCTATAAAAACAAATGGCAATGCTTCTTTACTGTTCATTGTTCTTGTTGGAGGTGGTATGGAGAGTTTCCTATCTTTAAGCTTCCGGTAAAACTGGTTGTACTCAATAACTCCTCCATCAGATATGCGGCTGTTGATCCCGAAATCACACATAATGAACTCGTAATTTGCGTTGACCACTGCCAAGAGCACTAGGCTGTATGCTCCTTTATAGTTATAAAAATATGAACCACTTCCGGTGGGCGGTTTTATATTGACATGTTTTCCATCTACCGCCCCCAGGCAGTTCGGACAGTTGCATCTCTTTTCGAAGTCGTCTGCAATGTTTCTCCATTCATTCTCGGTCGTTGGGAATTGAAAAAAATCAAAAATATATATTTTTTTGCATAAAACTAGATATTATGTAAATGAAAGTCAAGAGAGTGAGCTGAGCTCAGTACCAAGTCCACCAATATCCAGAAAACATTGTACCGCTGCCTGCAGCTGGAAATCGGGGAAAAAAATAAACGCAAGACAAACTCTGATAACCAAGAAGCAGACAACGTGTTGGCGGCGGTAGGAGAAAGATTACGTTCCAAGAATGACGATCAATTCGCCATTTTTGGGGAAAATGTCGCAGCAAAATTGAAAGGACTCCCAAAAGAAACCAGATTATACACTGAGAAACTCATAAATGATCTGCTGTTTGAGGCTGAAATGGGTAACGTGTCCAGAAATACTAGGATTGTTTCGTCAGGAGACAATGAACAGAATCAAAACAATTTTTCCAGTAATAGCGTTGTTGATGCTTGCTACCCTAATCAATATAACTACAATTCAACTCAACCTATAAATATATCAGGCACACAAAATCAAGCTCAAACTTATTTGCTACCAGCTATGCCACTTAAGCCCCAGTGCCATCAAAGCCATCCTCAACAAATCAACGAGGGTAGCTCCACAGTTTCAACTTATTTTGGATCGTATAATCCTCTAAGTGAAGCTAACATTTAAGGTCCAGTTTATATTTACATATAAGAGTTCCATTAGATTAGCGTTGTATGTATAAAAATAGAATACTTGAGAGTTTGTGTTTGTGTTTATTTTGTTTATTTTACTACTAAGTAATATACTCTGTACCCACCTTCATATAGTCTTTCTTCAGTACTTCATAAATAGCGCTGCATGTCTCTGGAATTATGTTGCACAATGACTGTGGAGAAATCAGGGTAGAAAATTTTAAATCTTCATAATTCCTCCCACTGGCCAAATACCTCAATGTGGCCGACAGTCCTTCATGTACCGATATAGCGGGTCTCATCGGTGTGTTCTGTTTTTCAATAAGTGGCGAAACCATCTCTAGGAGTTTTATATAACTATCTTCATCCATCCGGAGGTAGTTTCGCCAATCATCAGGTTCTAATCGTAGCTCTTCAAGTAAATTGATGTGAGAATATTGATCCCGCTTCAAAAGCCAATCTTTAACCCATTTTCTTCGTGGCTGACGTCTCTTTTTCAATTGATGTTTTCTTTTTTTCACAATACAAACGCACGCCACTGTTAGTAAGTTTAACTCATCATCGCTAGACATGGCGACAAACTACAACATCGACGTGGAGAAAACTGACACACAAGTCTCTATGTGTGGAGCTAAAAGTAGATCGACGGGTATCACTGAATGTCCTGCATTTGACAATTTATTTATAAATTATTAATAATAATCATGGCCGCGCGTTTAAATTTCACTTACGAAGACTATTTCAGTTTATTTATTATTTGTGGTGAATGCAACAGAATGATATCAAGAACAAGTGATGTGTTTGCTCATAGATATCCAGAAAAAAGAAGACCAGACGCACATACGGCTAAACGAGCAATAGAAAATTTCAAAAATTTCGGTTGTGTGAAGCCTGAGATTCAAAAGAATAAACCTTTAGTTAACGATGAAGCTATTGATCTAGCAGTTTTTGGGTATTTGTATGCTTTTCCAATTATGTTTTTACGACAAGCTGCACGAGACTTAGGTTTTACGAAAGACACCGTTAGCAGAATTATGCACAAACACAATTTTTATCCATACAAGCGATCATTAGTCCAACAATTAAAAGAAACCGATTTTTCAAAAGAATTCAATTTTGCGTATTGATTATTACAAGGTATGAAGAAAATGATTCTTTCCTGATAAATATTACATGGTCAGAAAAAGCAAAATGTACCAGAAATGGCCTTTTCAATCGACACAATTCTCATTATTGGGCTAATGACAAGCTTCATGTAATAAGAGAAAGACACTTTCAAGACAATTGGCAATTCAATGTATAGTGCGCTGTCAGAGATAATCAAGTTGTCTCTCTAGAGTTTTATGAAGAAAATTTAAATGGTTAGTTAGCAATTAACAATTTTTTTTTATAAAAGAAACTGATAAGAATGTACAATATGCAAATGCCAGTAGTATAAGTTTTTTAACACATCACATAAGGTCAGCATTGCCAACATTAGTACTAATTTATCTCATTTAAAAATATTTGGATATTAAAGAAAACGTTATGCAGTTATACAAATTTTAATTATTAATACCCAATAATATTTTTAGGTGAAGGTTATTATTACTTGGGTAACTTACCAGTTGCTGATCATCTAAATAGATCAAGAACGGACACTTAGTAAACAATTTCTTAGAAGCTACGTTTTACGATCAATTGTTTGCTAATAATGGACCGTCCAAGTGGCCGCCCTGTTCGCCAGATCTAACAGTCTTGGAGTACTTTATATGGAGGACAATAATAAATATTGTATACCAGAACCCACTGACCACTCTAGATGACTGTCAGCACAGAGTCAGAAATGCATTTGCTAGTTTGAGTCCGGAAATCATAAGAACTGCCACTCATCAGTACGTAGATGTTTTAAATGTTTGGAAGTTACGGGTGGACATTTTGAACATTTACCAAAATAAGTTGTTTCTTGTTATGTTTTAATTTTGTTTTATAATAGTATGAAAGTTAAATATAAATCGAAATAGCTTATTATTTCCTGTTTTTCATTTCATTGTATGTGTGCTTGTTTGGAAATCTACTAGCAAACTTGTCATAATTAGCCTTCATATTATTCTGATTACGCATACATGAAAATTATTAATTATACTATTATTAAAAGCTGAAAATTAGACGTAGTGATATTTCTGTAGTGCTCAATTGTTGATTCTCTGCGTCCCGCAGTCATAACCAACTAATTAAAAAACTAAATCTGTACTTATAGTTTTACAATAAAAAAGTAATAAATTGCAAATTACTCGAAAAGTAAACATTTTTGGAATAGATAACCCTGTATAAAGTTACGCTAATTTTTATTTATTTATTTATTTCATTTGAAAAAATCTTCATTTTGCAATTTTTGGCATTACTAATTTTTTGACCACCCTGTATAAATAATTATCGAAATATCATTCAAAGTATATTAAACTATCTCTGTTTACCAGAAAATCAATCCATATTAAACAATAAGGTCTTCTACATAGGGGAAATGAACAATTATTTTAGAGCATGCAAACGTCATTTTTGTTATAAAACTTGAAATATGTCAAAAAAGGTTAGACTCGGGTATAGGAGATTATACATGAAATATGATTAGAATGTAGAATCCGAATATTGAGTAGTATACAGGGTGTCCAATTTAAAATAAGCAAGTTAGCATCAACTTCCGGTATAACCGGTAGTGCCACCATCATGAAAACATTTTAGCTGCCGTTGCCCCATAGACATTAGTATACTCCCAAATTTTCAAAAATATCATACGCCTGCTTTTCGAGAAATCTATCGATGGAGTTCCCGATGCGACACCCTGTATAGTTGTTTATGTATTTATCCAACTACTTGACACTACAATCAATGGCCACAAAATGGGTATTGAAGTTAGAAAAAATTTGCATTTCATTTCAAACTGACAATTATCTCTGATACGAAACTACATAACCGTCTTTACTGTACTCACCCAGAAAAGATGTTACATTGTGAACGTACCACCACTTCCGCGCTCACACAGAAAGGAGCTTAGAATTAGCTTCCAGCGGGTCAGTTGAAGACATGAGTCTCAACAACAGGGCGTGACGAAGGCTTGCTGGTGAGAGGGGTGAAAGGAGAGAAAAACATATCAGAACCGGTTAAAATTTGATAAAAACAACCTGTATTATAAATTTAATTAGAAAACTATAACTAGGTACTTACATTTTTTGGAAGTCCAATTAGGTATGTAAAGCAATGGTACTTTGCAACTTCCATGCTACCAAGTGTAAGTGTAGCCAAGACCAGTGAGAATGACGGAAGCCATAGACCGTAGATTAAGCTTTGATCTTTATTTGTCCATGGATTGAAGTAAGGCTGAGGTTGGAGTAGCCTCAGCAAGGCAAAGGCAAGCTCTACTTTAGGAGCGTAAGTAACCCAAGGGAAACCTTAAGTGAGGTGTAAACAAGACTTCAAATAAGTAAGTCTTGAATAAGGCTCGGGATAACCCTTGAATAAGAGCAATATACCTGTAAAGCAAAACTTATGACTAAGGCTAGGTTAAGTCCAAGTAAAGGCTAAACCTAAGTTTGAGGGGGTGGCCCTCAAACATTTTTCCTAATTAGACACACACCTCATTGTTCTTAGCACATAATGCTACCAGATCACGCCATCAAAAGAAAGTTATCTGTATAATGGTTGCAATTAGAGTGGGAAGAATTCCAATCGGAATATTTGCGGGTTGGATATTTTTTCTAGAAATGGACGGAATATTTGGATTTCATGAATAGTGGAACAGTTGCAACTAAATCGTGTAATCTACCACATAGGGTCCTAAAAACTAATTGGCTAGGGAATAACTAACATATTTGACGGAATCCTGTTTCACACTATAGTCAACGCCAAACAAAGTGGCGTGCACGTCATCACGATAAAAATTCCCCGACCTAATGCCTAGGTTTCTATCACAAACAATTGCTCTATTGCAGTTTCATATTAATGTGATATATAAATTGTAAAATGGTCATTACTCTCTTATTATGGTTAATAGTCATATAAACATTGTTATTAAAATATCACATAAGTTGCTTTCTGATAAATTTAGACGCATTATGCGAAATAAAATGTTTTGCAAACGCTCCAATCACTTATCGACATGTAAACGCACTAAACCGATTTCGCAGCGTTGACACATTGTCACCTTGAAACTTATTTAAACTGGGAACTGACATTTGTATTAATTTTGACACTGAATCAATTTGTGGCATTTCAAATCTTTATAAATCCTTTGGCCCCGCATACTGTAAATCAACAACTGTTTGTTTCAAAACAAAATTATTCATTTTACGAGTAGATAAAGGCAATTTTGGTATATAAAGATGCCCAAACAGTTAAATAGTCGGTGTAAGGAACTCGTGGCCTCGTTAATGCACTACTTTGAGCAAGAAAGGGACAACAACGGGCCTTTGTTGCCTTTAAATGCTGTTCAAGAGGTAGGTTACTAATAATTATATGTAATGTATATTAATAATAGTGAAATTTTATTTCATGTTTTGTAGCGTGTTGCTGCTGCTTTAAAAATTAGTTTAAGGACAGTTAGTCGTATTTCCGAGGGTGTGAAAAGTGATGCAAATTTAGAATCGCCCAAGAAAAAGCGGAGTTATATTAAACGTGTAACCAACACAGCGACATTGGATACAAGTGCCATTCGAGAAGTGATCTATAATATGTATCACAAAAGTAAGATCTTATTATAATAACTTATCAGAAATTTGCATTAATTTGTTAACTAAATTATAATGTCATATTACACATGGTTTCAGAAGAACAAGTTACGATACAAACTTTATGGTCTCGATTAAGAGATAGGGCATTATTTGATGGTAGTGCCACGTCTTTAAGGCGGTTGCTTAGAGATCTTGGATTTAAGTGGCTTAAGGACAATCCGCGACGAGGGCTCATGGAACTACCAAGTATAGCTTTGAAAAGGGTGGAATTTCTAAGGCAATACAATCAAGCCAAGGTTGAGGCCTTATACCAGTTTGTCTTCCTCGATGAAACTTGGATATTTCAAAATGGGACCATAGGTCGCTCTTGGCAAAATGGAAACCAAAAAAACGTGAAAGCTATTAAAACAGATGGTAAAAGGTATGTACTTTTACACAATTTGCACTATAAAATTTAAAACTAATATATATTTTAGATACATTATATTACATGCTGGAAATGAAAATGGGTTTATTGAGGGTAGTGAAGCGATATTTTCTTCGAAAACAAAATTGAGCGATTACCATGGAGAGATGAACCAGGACAATTTTTTGAAATGGTTTCAACATCAGTTATTAGAAAAATTGGAGAGTCCATCTATGATTATACTGGATAACGCCCCTTATCACAGCATGATATTGAACAAAGTGCCCAACAATGCATGGACAAAAAAAAATATCCAAGACTGGTTGACAAATCAAAACATACCATTTTTAAACACAATGTTTAAAACAGAGCTATTGAGTATTGTTGCTCGGTACATAATGCTTCTTAATTATATATATTTTGGTCGACAGTTTATATTTCTTTTGTTTATTCCTATTCTTAAAATAACTGCTTTTTTAGAAACAAACCACCTAAAATATACGTGATTGATGAATTGGCGGAACAACATGGGCACAAAGTTCTTCGTCTGCCTCCTTACCATTGTATATTTAACCCTATTGAGTTAATTTGGGGCATAGCAAAAGGTTACTATAACAGACATATTGGTAGAGATGGTAACAGTGAAAAAGACTGTTTGGATATGTGGAACGAGGCTCTACAAACGGTTACCCCAGACATGTGGAAAAATCGTGTTCGACATACTGAGCAAGAAATTTTTAAATGGTATGAAAGAGAACGAATTTTTGATCGACCAGACATCGAACCTTTAATAATCAACTTTGAGAGTGATGAAGATTCAGATTCAGACAGCGCTGAAGAAAGAAACTCCGACTAACTTTATTGTACAGAAAAAGCTTACACCAGTAGCTTACCTAATTTTAGAATGCATTTTTCTGTATGAATTCTGTAAAATAAATACCATGCATAAAATTTGGAGGACCCCATTTGGATTTTTATTCAGTACCTTTAAGCTATCAATTAAATATGGTAGTTTCATAGTGTCATCTGATCAATAATTGTCATACTTAATGATTATGCAAGTACAGATCTATAATTTTATTATACTATTATTTTTGTTCTCATTTGAGGTTAATATTGCTTATAAACCTAGATATGTAAATAATAAATTTTATTATTTTACAAAAAGTTTGGCAACAATGTAAATTTTTCAACACACCCACCTTGATGACGTGCACGCCACTTTGTTTGGCGTTGACTATATTTGCGGGTGCTCTCTTACCATTCTTTCCTCTGTAAGCTATTCCCTAACAGATTAGCTTTTAGGACCTCGATATAAATTTGATACTGCTCAACATTGATTGATTTGTTGTCATAAGCCTTCAAAAATGTCTTTTATAATTTTGTTCAACATAACGAATGCCAGAAAAATTCTATAATAGACGTATTCGCAAAACCCAATTTTTCTCATACGATTAAATTAGATTGATCGAGTGAAATGTGCGATAGAAAAATAATAAATAATCGCTTACATTATAAAACTACTACAATAACTTATAACAAGAAAAAGTGATGTTCCCTTTTGTTCGTCTTTTAATTGAGTAGAGTTGCTGAAAAATTGGTAGGCGTGGCAACAAGGCAAATATGTAGCATCTATCGGAGAGTTTTGCAACTACAACGTATAACCAGATAGAGAACTTTCGTGTGCTTTATTGAAATTCAATACTAGGTAGCAGCATATACCTTCGATGGCGCCAAGAATAGAACATAAAATAACAGGATAGCAGGATACTTGTCAACGTCAACTGTGCTGTAGTTGTAGTTGTCAACTCGCTTGCTTGGTACTCCGGTTTTCACATTTTGTTTTAATATTCGGTTTTAAAACTATGAAATTTTGTTATACTACGTCGAATTAGTGCCACCAGTTGTATTATCCGGCATATCAGAAAATTCCTCACATCGAGGTCATATTCCATATAACAACCATGACTGAAGAAAGACTCCATATTGTGAGTATCAAATGCTTATCTCCATAAAACCTATTTATACTGACTACTAGCTAAAAATGTGTTATTTTTATAGGACTGGGGTAATGACAAACTCTACAGGACCCAAAAGCTGGTTGAGAAAAATCCATACGACCTAGAATCATGGTCTCTACTCCTCAGAGAAGCTCAAACAAAGCACATCTCAGAAGTCAGAGCCCTATATGAACACCTCATAGGGATTTTCCCTAATGCTTCTCGGTACTGGAGGATCTATATTGAACATGAGGTAAACATGCTCGCAGGTATATCATAAAATTAGGAATATTCGATGTGACATCCTGTTTCAGTTGTATATTCTATAAGTAGGTCTTTTTCACACTTTTTGGCTTGTCAAAGTAAAACTACCGGAATTATTTTCATACATACATCGCCATTGTGTAAACTCATAGACCAATGTTTGTGTAAGCTCATAGACATATGTTTTTTAGCTTTATCTCTCAACGTTATCCCCCTCATCAATGTTTGAGTCTTCCACTTCTCTGCTTATCACTGTCATTAGGACGACTTGTTCATCATGGATGTGGAATTTGAGTTTACCTTTTCTTGATCTTTGATATACACTGAAATCCATATACCACTGACGTAATGTGTAGAAGAGAGAAGCGTGCAATACATGTGTTAGAAAGAGATAGCTTGTTGCCAGCAGCCCAGTAACATACATAACTGTACTGTCAACAATCTGTGTTGAATTTAATTCAGTATTTTCAGAAGGTGAATGAAAATAATGAGATCGAATTGCACAGTGTGTTATTTCTTTTAGAAAAATTATGCTCTGCATAAGGAATAGTTAGCTAGATGGTTTACTTATTTCATATGATATTGTGATGTTAAGTAAGGCAAAAAGTCCTACATAGAAAGTGTCAAATATACTAAGTGACATATAAATCCGAACACCCAGTTTAAATGGTTTTATTTTAATAAAAGTTGGTGAATGTATTTATCTTACTGTAAATAACAAGTGAAAAAATTTTCAGCCTTACCAGTTGGACATTCCGGTTTTTATACTGCTTTTTTTTAATTCACTAACGCTCTAAAAATGAATATTTCAGCCGCAGTAAAGAATCAACGTTGGCGGATTTTGGTTCTTGACATCCTTTACGATCGGTTCCGATTCCTAGAGTACGGAGACCTGTACGATTTCGTCAACTTAGTGAGTTTGATAGGGGCCGTATAGTGGGACTTTGGGAAGCTGAACTTTCTTTTTGGGCAATTGCAGTGTTAGAGTGCAAAGAAGTGTAGACACTGTGGTTAGGTGTTGTCAGGCATGGCTTCGAGAAGGCCGTACGCAAAGAGCAAGGGGCACTGGACGCCGCCGTAGAACAACAGACCGTGAAGATCGTCGCCTAAGATTATTGGCCTTAAGGGACCGTTTCTCCACTACCAGGTCCATTGCAAATGAATAGTTTACAGAACACGGAAGACCTATTGGCATGCGAAGTGTTTACCGACGAATGAGAAGTTTTGGCTTGTTTTCATACCGGTCACACTGGGTCCTCCCTTTAACTCGAGAACACTGACGTAATCGCCTTGAGTGGTGCAGACAACGGTCAATCTGGGATCAGGAATGGAACAGTATTGTCTTTAGTGACGAGTCACGATTTTGTTTAGGCATGCACGATGGTCGTGCCAGGGTTAGAAGGCGACGTGGTGAAAGGAGGAATCCACAGTTTTTTGTTGAAAGACATGTTCATCACACTGTTGGAGTTATGGTTTGGGGTGCTATAGCTTATGGTTCCAGGTCACCTTTAATCTTCATCAGAGGTAACATGAACGCGCAGCGTTATATCCACGAAGTTCTAGAACCCCATGTTTTACCCTATCTTGACACCCTGGCACATCCAACTTTCCAACAAGATAATGCCCGACCACATGTTGCAAGAGTCACAATAGACTTCTTTCAACATAATGATGTCACATTGTTACCATGGCCACCAAGATCTCCCGACTTATCCCCAATTGAGCACGTTTGGGATATTATGGGTAGGAGATTGCTCAATTTGCAACGTCCTCCTCAGACTCTAGAAGCACTTCGAGAGGAGTTGGTGGTTGCCTGGAATGAGATACCACAGGAGGACATTGACCACCTGATCAGAAGCATGCCTAGGCGCGTTGGAGAATGCGTAGCACATCAGGGTGCATCCACACATTATTAAAGGTCAAAGGGCTTTAAAGCAGTGCAATCATTCTGAAATTTTTATCATTTACTTATTATGCTTCATTAAGTACTTATACAAAATTTTATTAAAATAAAACCATTTAAACTGGGTGTTCGGATTTATATGTCACTTAGTATAGGTGTGATAGTTGTAGCAGGTATATTAACATTTGATGGGTTTTTTAGTTTCATATGATCTCTTATATGAATAATAGTTTTCCATTTTCTGCAGGGTCCATGTTTTGTACTTTTTTAGCATGTTGGATGCCCATCAAATTGGGGCGTTTTTCCACAAGAACCAACTATCAAATTTCAGTTTACCTGCTTTAAATTGTTACTAAATTCAATATAGAGTATCTTTTCGCTGAAAATGGCTAATTTTTCACAAATAACACTCACGCACACCTGTCATTACGTTATACATTGATAATTTATTTTTAAGAATACAAAAATAAAAATAATATTCGGGCCGGGCCCTTTCCACAGCACGAATTTGCTTAGGATTGCGAAGAAGACGACACACTGTCGTCATAGGCACTGCTATAGAAAACCGCATGGCGACACAGTGTCATCATGGGCATCGAATGTGTTAAACTATAAGTATAAGACAAAGACTGCATTACAGTGACTATATTTTTATGTTATATGCTTCATAATTGCATAATCAGTATCTTTAATAGATAATAACTGTTCTCATTTGATTTGTTTGTTTCCAGATGAAATCCAGAAACTTTGAAAAAGTGGAAAAGGTAGGAGATGAGTTGATTTTGGAAAACACAACTAAATCCATTTTTTGCTTTAATGACTATAAAAATAAACTTTTGTTTCTCGAAATACTATCACAATTATTTTCTTTCTTCTTCTACTTCTGATGTGTTAAAAAGTTGAGAGGAAACATTTCAAGGCTGGTTCAGTCTACTAGTCAATGATCAGTTCAAGCTAAGGAAGTATAGTATTTTTATTGTGATTTTTGTAACTTGTAAGTAATCTTATGCATATTATGATTTCTCCCTGCCCTTTTTTCATGAAGCCACATTCGCTGAAATTATTAGTATTCAGGGATCAATCTTTCTGTCTTTGTATATTCATTATACCTAGCTTTGAAACAGTTCTTCTTGACTTATACTCTACCTTTGTTCAATATTTTTGGGTATTTTGAATAACATTTGCTAAAGACTGGGTAATATTTGCTGTGTTTTTCTTTATCCCCTAGCCCTCCAATAGAATAATAACTGAAATAATGCAGTAGATGGAACAAGAGACCTATACTTTTTCAGTTATTTTTACCTCTTATCATTTACAATAAAACATGAATAGTAAACATGTTGTTTTTCTTGTGCAAAATGTTTCCTAGTCTTTATCCAATGTTGATTAAGCTGTTTCCTTAAATATTGAATTTTGAATCAAGAATATGAATGCTTAAAGCAAAAAATACTTCTTCGGGGTATTCTTTACATGTACTAAGTATTTGTTGACAGCTTTTTCAAAGGTGTTTGATGAAGATTTTGAATATAGAATTGTGGAAGTTGTACCTTACTTATGTTAAAGAAACCAAGTCTTCATTACCAACATTTAAGTAAGTATTCAAACCAACTGATCTTCTTTTTATTACTAACATTGGAGTTCTAAGATTTTTTCGTGAAGAGCCCCATGACCTTGGAATCAAATTGTTTCATGATCTTATATATTATTTTTGCATCGCCTTATATACATTAAGACCCAAAAAGTGACTGTACATTATTAAATAATTAATAATATTGAAATGAAACTTGATTTTCCAATAATTCCCTTCACATAAAAGTAATCCACCACCACTCTTCCCTGTGAAACAAAATACGAGGGGGTACCCAAAAAAACAGGAATTATTTTTTAAAAGCTATTTACTTTCAACTTTTCCACAAAGTAACCTTATCTCCTTCAAAATACTGCCCACTACAACTAATACTCTTGTCCCACCAGTGCTTCCTCTGCTTGAAACATTTTTTGAAGTTTTCCTTAGAAATGTCTGACAGCTCCTCCCACGTTTTTTTCTTGACCTCTTCAATGTCGTCAAACCGGCGTCCTTTCATATCCCTTTTCGTCCGTGGAAATAGGAAAAAGTCGCACGGAGCCAGGTCAGGCGAATAAGGTGCGTGAACCATTTTAGCCAGAAACTGTCGAACAGAGATGGCTGTGTGCACAGGTGCATTATCGTGGTGGAAGAACCATTCTCCTGACTACCACAAATTGCGTTTTTTTGTCTAACACTGTTGCGCAATCGTCTTAAAACCTCCAAATAGCACAAGCTTCCGAATTTTTTCAACTTTTTCGTCGATTCAGGCAGTTGATGAACGTCCAGAACGAGGTTTGTTATCAATCGACATGTCGCCATTATTTAATCGAGCAAATCACTCGTACACCCGAGTTTTTCCCATGGCGTCATCTTTGTAAGCTATTTTCAACATTAAAACAGTTTCAGCAGCATTTTTACTAATTAGAAAGCAAAATTTCACAGCTGCACGTTGCTCACTGAAGCTTGCCATCGTAAAAAACGAAACAAGCGCGAAACAGCTCTGGCAAAAATAATAACTACAGAGGAACGAAACAAGCCAGATCGACATCTCAGGTGGCACTGAACTGGTAATGAGTTTTGAGTTGCGCTGTTCGCCTCTAGGGGCAGAAATGTGTACTACACAAGCTCCGCCCACTGCAATGCTATTTCGGCTATTCTTTAGTACCTCCTCGTACGTTCAGCGATTTTTTAAGGGTTTTATTTCGAAGAGTCTACAGAATGCTTAGCATCTGAAGAGTATAGGAGAAAAAAATATGTACATCACAAATTTGATATTTTCTAGTTAAAACAACTCAGTACAATCCCATAAGGTATCGGAAACGCAAAAACAATGACAGTTCGTAGTTATACCCAATTGCAAACTTGGCGTGCAGGGAAAAAAAGATTAAGCTACCAATTTTAAGCATTTACCATTAATTTTGTTTTGCTTGTTCTACAGGTATATTCTTTTGAATAAAGATTTTTTTGATTCATCGTCTTTTTCCTGTCCCAATTAAAAAAATAATTAGAAATAATTCTGTTTGAGCTATTGAGGTTATAAAATCACCTTTTTCTTATGTTCTAAGCCCTGAGTAATAAACTTCATGTTAAGTTGGTTCTCATATTAGAACAGATCGTAAAACCTAAGATAGGCATTTTGCTGGTTGATCAACCCTTAGATTTTACAGAGTGTTGCATATGATGAAAGGCTCATTTCAAGCCTCAATATCTCATAAAAAAGTTGATTTCAGGTATTGCCGCTAACACATCAAAATGTTTAAAATTGCACGGAGAACCTCAAAATAAAAAGGATTTTCCATTGAAAAATGTGTGGTTTAGTTTCACTTTGGGCTATCCTGTATATCAGATTTTTTTTTAATTATAATTTAACTTTTTTCCAATTTATAATAATAAGAAATCTATGGTACTCCATCAGATCTTTGACCCACCCAATACAACGAGCATAGGAGTCTTCAAACTTTTAACTTTACTTTTCTCAAAACTCACTTTTTGTGACACTCATCTTTTTTCCCCTGTATCCTTCATCTGTATAGAGACAAAAACTCAGTTACACTCCCACACGTGCACTTAAAACCAAATTTGTCTGACGGCTTGAGTTCAATCTGTATGAGAGATGTGTGTATAGTTACATATGCTAGAAAGAGATATAAGCCGTTGCCTAGTAACGCTGACGCGGCGATCTGACGCGTTGCCAATATGTTACACCAGTTCCTTGAATTAATTTGTATATTGAGAGTATGCATTAGTTTATTCTCCACGCCTAGATAATGGTTTTATTTAGAGCGTACACATTTTTGAATTGTGTCGAATCTGTTTAGGATCGATTCCTGTTCGGTCCTAACACCGCTTCATTTTAGTTCGAAATGAAAGGTGAGGATCGCCACAAATTCTGCAACATTGTATCGTTGGTTCGCTTGGCGACACCGAATCTCGTACATTCTAAGAAAAGGTTTCCACCCCAAAATGAAAACAAAAAATTACATTAAATGTACATACCTCATTCTTGGGTTTAACAGTAACCTAACCTATTTGTAGAAGCCTGTGCGAACATTTTCTTGTGTAACATGTAGGCAACGCGCAGGTTGTACGACCTTCTGCGTCACCGTTGCTAGGCAGTGTGGTGAAGACTTTCGCTCTTCAGCCGGCTTCTATCTCTTTCTAACATGTGTTCGCTTCTCTCTAAAACACATTGGACTCAAACCGTTCTATACAAGTTTGGTTTTCCCTATATACATGTTTAAGTGTGAAATGTTTCACATCTTTTCATTATTTCACCTATGCTTTTGCTACATTAATGGCATATGTTTAAAAAACACTGTATATTTGACGTCTCGCGTTTTCAGGGAAAAAATGGCACAAGCATACGATTTTGCACTTGATCGTATTGGCATGGACATCCACTCTTATTCCATTTGGAATGACTATGTTAATTTTCTCAAAGGTGTAGAGGCAGTAGGCTCTTATGCTGAAAATCAAAAAATATCTGCTGTGAGAAAGGTGTATCAGCGAGGAATTATAACGCCTATGACTGGCATGGAGACTTTCTGGAAGGACTATATTGCTTTCGAACAGGTTTGGAACAAATCCAAGTAGTTTTCGCCGTCAGGAATCATGAATTTGAATTAAAAAAAGGAATATTAATTTTACAGTTGCATTGTCTGTGCTTCTAAAGACCCTAGGCACCATTCTCCAGATATAATAACGTAATCTTCAAAGTGTGTCTTTCTCATACAGTTGAAATAAACTGTTTTAGGCAATCAATCCAATAATAGCAGAAAAAATGAGTATCGAGCGGAGCAGAGATTACATGAATGCCAGAAGAGTTGCCAAAGAATTAGAAGTACAGATTCGTGGGATTAACAGGAATGCTCCTAGTGTACCTCCTAGTGGTACCCCAGAGGAACGCAAACAGGTAAAGTCAAATTTGTGCATATTCAGCCTAGAGAGGCTACTGTTAAAGCTGGCTAGGTTTATGTACAGTTAATGTTGCATTTGGTTCTTATTATTATGACATATTGCAGGTTGAATTGTGGCAAAAATACATCCAGTGGGAGAAAAGCAACCCACTGCGAACAGAAGATACTGCACTATTGACAAAACGCGTTGTTTTTGCTTTAGAACAGTGCCTGTTATGTCTTGGACACCATCCTGACATTTGGTACCAAGCAGCTCAATTTTTAGAACACAGCTGCAAAATTTTAGCTGAGAAAGGAGTATGATCACTATCTTTTAACAAACTACAAATGTTTTCATAATATGATTTATTCTAGGACGTAAATGCGTCAAAGTTGTTCAGCGAAGAGGCAGCAAATATGTTTGAGCGTGCTACCAGCTCTTTGCTTAGTAAGAACATGTTGCTGTACTTTGCATATGCAGACTATGAGGAAGGCAGAGTAAAATACGAAAAAGTGCACCAAATTTATAGTAAATATTTGGAAATAAAGGATATTGATCCTACTTTGGTAATTTTACCATTATTATATTATTTTCAAATGCTTATTGTTTGTAATTAAAATTGGGAAGAATTGTCACATGTTATAGGCTTATTTGACCTTAATTGTAGGCATATATTCAATACATGAAATTTGCAAGAAGGGCAGAAGGTATAAAATCAGCCAGAGCTATTTTCAAGAGAGGCAGAGAAGACCCGCGGACAAAATACCATCTGTACGTCTGCGCGGCTCTAATGGAGTACTACTGCAGTAAGGACAAAAACATCGCTTTCAGGATATTCGAATTGGGTTTGAAGAAATTTGGAGCCATACCTGAGTATATCAGTTGTTATATTGACTACCTGTCCCATTTGAATGAAGATAACAACACTAGGGTGTTGTTTGAGAGAGTTTTGTCATCTGGGAGCTTGGAAGCAGAAAAATCTGTGTAAGAACATAATTTTGTAAAGTTGGTTTTAAACGTAAAAGTCTTGAATTCAGGGTGGAACTTTCGCCTGATATCTTGAGGACACAAAGATAACTGAAGCTTGTACCCTTAAGGATGGCCGAGACAGTCATGGATAAAATCCATTTTACGCAAACGAAACTGAGATTCTATAATAAAATTTAAGAGAAAAATACTTTTTAGTGATATTTGGAACAAATTTTTGGAGTTCGAATGCAACATTGGCGATCTGCAATCAATAGTGAAAGTTGAGAAGCGAAGATCTGAAGTTCTATCCAAAATTAAGGAGTTTGAAGGGAAGGAGACTGCTCAGTTGGTAGATAGATACAGGTTTTTAGATCTCTTCCCTTGTTCGCCGCAAGAGTTGAAAAGTATTGGGTATGTATAGTATAAATATAAAATTATATCATCATTTCGAGGAAACCAAAAAACTAAAATTGCTGTTTGGCAGTATGTGTGAAAGCAAGTAGGATTATCATCATTTTTATGGAGTTATTTATCATAATTATGTTTTAGGTACACTGAGGTAATAAACATAACTGGGGCAGCAGGCAAGAATCACATACTGCAGTCCATTATAGAACAGGAAACTGAAATGCCTTTGCCATTACCTGATTATTCACAGATGATACCTTACAAACCCAAATCCAATCCTTTACCTGGAGAACATCCCGTGCCAGGTAAGATACAGATATAAGTAACACTATACATTATTCAAATGATACTTAAACTGCCTCAAAGAAAACAGGCGACTATGGCTCTCCTATTGCCTTATTGTTGCCTCCACAACCCACTGACCAACAGTATAGTGAGAATTTAGCGATCGATAGCCCATGTTTGTTTTGAGTCAAAGTAAAATCCATCTGCGTACGGAGTTTAATATCGTGTAATCTCAAAGTTTCTTTGTCAAATATTAAAATTATGTTTCCAGGCGGGACGTTTCCAATGCCACCAGCTGCAGCCTACCTGTGTACACAGCTGCCTCCACCACAGTGTTTCAGAGGTCCATTTGTACACATTGATATCCTCATGGATATCTTCTCCAGAATTCATCTCCCAGACACTTGTAAGTCATACATTCTTGCAGAATTTTGTTTCGTCATTGTTTGGCATTGCTTGATGTATTGAAAACCACAGAACTTACTGACCTCGCTCCACCATATGTCATGCTGAACCTCAAAGTGTCTTTTAATAAGAAAAATTCCAAGCTTAAGTATACGTATTCGCTGGATGCGTTATGATAGCGCCACCTAGCAAATAAAAATATTTGTTCTTTATGTAAAAATAAACAGACCCAGAGTAGCTTTAGTCCATTGTTGCCTAAAATAAATTGTCCTTCAATACCAGTGGGAAAGTTCACTTTTTGATTCAAGAAAAAAATACAAACTTAATGAAAAGAAAATATCTGTTACTATCAACATATTCCTAAATTCGGAGAGTTTTATTTCTTAAATATCATTCTCGCCAAATGTTTGCCATCTCTTCGGACTTCGGACACACTTTTCTAATCGCGCGCGCAAATTCTCTTTCAGAGTTCCGGAGTCATGTTGTTTATTTCTCGTCGAATGTTGTCTTTAAGCTCCTCCAGTGTTCGTGGATTATTGGAATACACTTTTGACTTTAGATAACCCCACAAGAAATAATCGCATGGCGTGAGATTGGGTGACCTAGGAGGCCAGTGAATGTCTCCAAACTTCGATATAACTTTTTGGAGAAAAAGTGCTTTCACCGTGTACATCGATTCTCTGGAAGCATGGGCAGTGGCCCATGTGTTTCTATTGAATCGACGTTCTGTTCTTTCAGTAGGAGCAAAAAAAGTATCAATCATGTCCTTGAATCCCTCGAAATTGACTGTCAACTTCGGCCCAATATTACCGCTAGAGGATATGGCGTACCAAACAGTCACCTTTGGACTATGTAGCTGTTGTTGATGTTTCTCTTTTGGGTTCGTTGGGCCCAGTATCTACAATTTTGCTTGTTCACATAACCAACTAAGTGAAAATGGACCTCGTCGCTGAAAACGTTATCGAGTCTGCGCTGCGTAGGAAAAAGATTCAACATCTGTTCAGCACAAGGTTTCCGTAATAGGTAATCACTTTCCTTTAAAGCCTGGACTGATTGGATTTTATAATGATGAAAACCCATTTTTTTTTCTTCATTGTGCGATGCAGTGTTGACCTAGGAATTCCGTACAGAACGCCGATGATTTGCAATGACCGAATCAGTTACTCGACGCACATTTTCTTCGGTTGATACAGTAGGTGTGGGGTCAGGATAGGGTTAACTTAGAGCAGAGAATGTTTCACGGAACCTCTTAATCCACTTTTTCAATAGGTTCTTACTCGTGGCATCTCTTGGTCGGCGAATGTTGTATCGTGCACAAAATATACGAAGGGCAGCTGCGTATGAATCACCACTCTTGGTAGTAAGTCTCGATAGCAAAAGCACGTTGCGCTCCGCTGCAACGTTCCATTGTGACTATTTAATCCGCACGCCGATCGTGTCGATCAAGACCATCGTGATCAAGACCTCTCCCCTCTCCCTCGCGTATACGGTTGCCGCTAATTCAAATTTGAAATGTGTAGTTTCCCACTGGACACCCTGTAGTAAGGAAGTTACAAATAATGTTATTTTGTAGGGTGGGGGAGAGTATATCTCTTTTTTGTTTGATGCTGGTATTTTTATACACTTCCAACCACGGTAATTCTACGAACAGCACCTGTTGGTCATATTTCGCACATTATAGATTTCCCAATACGTTTCCTTTGAAAACTTATAATGGTAGAGAAATACACGTCTCTTCTTTTACTCTCTGCGTTCACCATAGTCGCGGTGTTGATGAGTGTCTTGACGTTACTGCCTCGCTGCCGAGGCTGACGCGTCGTGCGGTGAGACACGAGCTAGAGGCGACGTTGCAAGATGGACGGTACTATCGATACGACAAATAAAGAATGTCTATGGACTGACTTGATCAGTTTATGAACTGATGACCGCGTTGCGAAGGATGTCAGTTCTGAATGGGACTTGACATATTTTATTGGTCAATAGAAAATAAACTTGAGACATCACTTTGCGATTACTCAAGATTATACATATAATGTATTATGTCTAATATTGCATAATTCATGTATCATAGGCACTGTAAATCGATTTGAATGGTAACGTTGGTGTGTGTTAGGTCGCGACCTTAATGCCTTTTGCATTGCCTTGGGTGCCATAATGTCACTAGTTGCATTCTATATATTAATTGTGCTTAAATTTGAGCAGGATTTTTTTTATAGACAAAAATCAGAATCATGCAGTAGTATTCTGATTTTTTCTTTTTTGTAAAATTAAATAGGGATGTTTCATCTTCTCTAACTTGTCGGCAAGCGCATTAAAACTCTTAAGTAATTACTTAAGGAGATAATTATCTCCTAAGTCGCTCATAGTCACTTACGAATCAACTGACGATTGCCAATCAGCGAGATAACGAAACTCGATATTATTTGCTCAAATACCCTGAATTTTGTGACATTTCTACTAGCAGGTAACTGGTAATCTAGTCCGATATTTGTCATTTACAAATCAGGTATGCACACATTATTATACAATTATTATTTATTTTAATACGAAAAATTCTAAGCTATAATCACAGACAAATTCAGCTTTCTTAGTTTGAAGCTGTCGGTGACCACTCAGCACAATTCATAGAAAAGGAAAGAAAACATTCATTAGTATTGGGACGAAAGTATATGACATGTAATTTTGAAAGACTTAGTAAAGGAACCTGAGCCTCCTTTTTTTTTAAGAAAGAAGAATGTATCGGGAATAATATTTTAGTGTTTTAATTTCTTAACACAAACAATTGTTACCGTGGATTCCCAGAGTGTTCCACGAATATTATCGTTTTTTATGGCATGATGAGATTTTGATTATTACTTAGATGAATATATCACATATTTCACGAGTATCCATCTCACCCTTTGACGTCTACTGAGATGAACAGCTGATCAGCAAGTGACATTTTTGTGTTTTTCTGCGACGTTGGCAATAATGAATCAGGTTTACATCTAGTAAAAATAGTTTGTTTTTGTATACAAAAGAACTTTTCTCAATAAAAGAGCTTTTAGCAAGTACAAAATGAATCTGAAGCGTACAAAATAACAAAACAATACAGCTTTTGTAGATAACCTTGTTTGCCTTTTCAGTCAATATTGACACGTGGACTTGACTTTATGTTAAGTCCGATTATAACGGAGAAATATTTGCGCCATTGCTAGGACTAGTTGATCCCACATGTGATAGATATCACCATAGATACCACGCCTACATTCCCATATCAGGCTGATTATTCCGTTTTTGTCCGCTGCGTGTGCGGTTATCGAATTATCTCCCCCACTATGCGTTTCGCTCCTTCTCCTCTTAGATCACTTTCTTTGCTCTCCCTCTTTCTTACTTTGTTCTTCCTTTCTTTCTGTGTGGCTTTGTTATTTAGACAACTGTGGTTTTGTTATCTAGACAACAGAACCTCTGACAAAATTTGAACTAACAGCTAACGTCTCGTGGACAGGCTGTGGCATATAGGCGACGGCTTGAGGGAGCATAGTCGAGGACATGCGGCCCCGTTTTCCGATAAGAGCAGGGAAGGCAAAAAGTAGGACAAATATATCTTTTGAGATAAGAAACATACTTTCAAAGTAAACTTAGCACTACACTCGCGCTAAAAACTTGTGCCGGCCATGCTCGCAGACAACTCTACCAGGCAATGACGTATAGAATAGAATAATTATCCAAAGTCCCAAATAAACATTTTTGATTTTTTTTAGTCCCAACACCAACAGAATCACATGGTGACGTGAGGCTGTTTGATTTGGCCAAATCGGTACACTGGATCGTCGAGGAAGGAGGCAGCATTGGCTTGAAACGGCGGAAGAGAGGTTCTGGACTGGGCCTGGATGGTTCAGATGATGAGGATTTGCCTCTTCCACCTTCCAATGATATATATCGACAGAGACAGCAGAAACGTGTCAAGTGAAGCATATTATTTGTTGAGTAATGAGTTTTGTTATATCAACTCTATTGAGTTGTATTACACAGGAAGAATGACATGGAATGTGTGCGTGTGTGTCTGTGAGTTGAAGTTAGATTTTAGGTAGTTCTGTGTCAATATATTTTCTATCAATAAATGTTCAGAAACACAAGTTCCTTTTACTTCCATTCGAGGTGTTGCCAAAAAAACTACCCTGCACAAAATATGGAAAATGGGTGGCAGTCGATTTGTCTGAATATTAGATGTATTTCACGCTTTCCTGAACAAAACTTCGCGTTGGACCAAAGCAATCGTATGATTAGTTTCTGAGAAATATGGGGGGTAGCAGTTTGCCCGATTTGCAAAACTGGTAAATATGCTTGCTGATTGTAGTTCTCAGACCAAATAGCCGAAAGTTGTTATACAAGAATTTTATTTAAAAACCTTTGAGGAATGACTGTTGGGCGGTGTTGGCCATGATCATTACAAGGCCAATTCAATGACAAGCTTATTTTTTCGTTGATACTGAAATTAATCTGGCACGAGTTGTTCGAGAATTTAAAAAAGCACTCAAGGACACTGAAAGGACAGGATTTTTAGTTGTCTGATTATTATCTTTTCAAGGTCATGCTGATTTTTTAGACGAAAGAAAAAAAAGCGCAGTAATAAGAACAAAGCCTGTATTTTCCATCTTTTGTTTTGGTCGGCTTCCGGCATATCAAACGGTTTAGATCAACTTTTTCGGAAGATAATGAACTTCGTAGAGAGTATATGTCGGAAAAAAACCACTTGTGCCTAAGGTTTGGGCGCCACATTTACGTCTGCAATAATGTCTTTCAATTATTGCATATTCATCAGGTAAATCCTCGTAATATTCATAAACTTCTTGATAAGATATGCATAGTCATTATTTGTTTTCTAAAACGTGAGTAAATTCCTTCCACTTCATCTAACGCTAGATCAACGTTTGCCTTTGAACGGTATTAGCACCTCTCATGAATAATAATTGCAGGATGGGATCTATTAATAAGAGCACTATCTATTTTATAAAGGACTCAGATTCGATACATGAATTTGAATGGTTTTTTCGAGGAATTTAAAAATCGATTTTTGTGCACATTCAAAGTTTTTGCAGATCAGTGAACTTTATCCCCCTATTTCTCGGGAACTGATCATATGTTTGCTTTGTTCGGGATGGCGAGAAATATATCACACTGAATTCTGAAACACATCGACCGAGACCCATTTTTCATGATTTGCGCGGGGTTCTTTCTCTAAACCAAATCCTTTAATTTGCTGGACGACATCGATTACTCCCGTTCGGAATGATTTTCAAATTTCGCGTAGATTATTTCTTCAGGATATATAGTCTGGTGGTATCATATTCTTTAATCCCCCTGTTGACTCCCATTTTAACCATTTGAGACTTTTGTCCAATGAACTTGCGAATTTCAGCAGACTATTTATTCTGTAACTCACTCAACGACATCAACTCCTCTCTTTGGAGGTGTTAGCTAATTTAATTTCACTGAACTATACACGTTAACCCGCCCGATGACATCGACTGCTCCTGTTCAAGGGACACTAAATTGATTTCACCAGAATATATCATTAATTTATTTAATGGGTAATCAAATAGTGTGAAAATAAAAGTCAATATCATGTTTCATATAAATGTATTCTGATATACAAAAATGTATAATGGATTAATAAATAAAAACAATTAATTACAAATTTCTATTGTTATAATACAATATTTTACATTACTATATCCATATTTTGCTGTTGTTTAAAAGGCACTCTAATTTGCAAAGGCTGGGCCTGGCATATGACTAGTAACAAGTTTGCATATATTCACAAATATCTCCAAAACAAAAAATACGAAAATATTTGTATTACTCAAAATAAGTACGTTAAAATTATGTGATACAGGCACTGAGCTATCTTGAATGAATTCAAGTGTTTTTCATTTCATTCTAGTACAATTTTGTTTTTGCTGCAGATTAGCAATTTTTGTTTCTGATCTACATGTTTTACATGACACACAAAGTGACTTTCATGTCTTTCCGTTGTTTAATATGCTCATAAAAACCTGCGAAATATTTGTTTTGTTCCTTCAGACAAAACCTTCATACATCACTTTCAAAACAGAATGTTTGCTTTTATTACATATAAATTTCCTGTTTTCATTAAATTTTGATAAGTATATGTGTATTTTTTGTTTAAATGCGCGATGCCGTTCGAATATAACGACATTCCTTCGGGTTAGTTCTGACTGAAAACTTTTGTGTAGAGATCTGTCTGAAAAGTCACTTCATGTATATGCAGTACAAATAACATCTATTTTATAAGAACAAAAATCTGAAAGTGGTCCCTGACTGACTAACTGGACATTTTTCTACATTGTCCTTAAGCACCTGATACAGTTGTGAGCACAAAAAATGTCGCATTAGATGATGTCAAAACTCCGATCACTACAGAAAAGAGATCATAAAACCCTTTAGCTTTATTTTATTTTTATTATCAGAATCGCTAATTCATTTTTCGTGCCCATATCTGTATATATGAAAAATTTAAAAAAGACTAACCTCACAAAGTACATCTCTTCTGTAAGATGTATTCATCTATAAAAAAAGCAGGGAAAATGAAAATTGTTTTTCATGTACATTCTATATATTTGCCAGCCACATTTTTATTAGCTCAGAGACATGGATCATTTTATTATTGTTCATAGTACGTTCAATAAAATATATGACAAGTACGGAAGTATACAAGACGAACATAACTTTCAAAGCCTGATTTGAAGTAATTCAAAGCCTAGATCATGAACGATAAATTCAAATGGCATGTTGATCTTCATCTTTCTAGATGAAATTATCACAATAGTTTTCGGAAATTGCAAACGAGATGACGTTCGCAACCACAAATTTTGTAAATATTTTAAAATAGAATTTATTATGTCTTCGTATAAATAATAAAAGGTCAGCCGAGTTCTAAGCGATATCGTCATAATTCTATTTTACTCAGACATTATCACTTCCACTCATAAATACGCCGGTTATCAAACATTGTTTATTTAATTTACTCTCATTTATCAACAAGTAAATGTTACATGGCTTCATGCAGTGGTGACACGTCAAAAAGGGGAATTTAATATATATTTTATTGATGCTTCTTTTGACCTAGAGTCTGTTGTCAATAGACATAAGAACCAAAATGAGCGGCCATCTGCATTCCTAAGAGAAAACTTGGAAATAAATACGCCTTGAAGTTGAGGACTATGCAAGGATAAGGAGCCCTCAAATTGAAAAAAGCGGTCATTTTCCATTGAGAAACATATTTTAGAACTCACTCCCATTTGTCAAAAATGCCATGTCAAATAACACAATAAGCAGGCCCTAAGTGAAGAAGCGGCAATATTTTTGGCCATAAGAGAGAAGTGTTTATAATACTAAATTTGAAAGTGTTCCTTTCGCATGGAAAAATAAAATTAAAAAAAACATTAATGCCAGTAAAATAGTACGGTTGTAAGTTTCCTTACACTAAAACATAATACACAAATATTGTATTTTGTTTTAATCTTTTAATATTGACTGTGTCTAGTACGGATATGTGTTTAAAGTACACTTTACTTTAGTACGAAAGAGAGTACGCGAAACATTCTGTTCGTGAATATATGCTCATTAACACCAAACCAGGCCTTTGACAAAACTGATAAAAACAATTCCTATCAAATCTTCAGCGCCAGGTTAATATATCGGACGGAAGAGACGCCATGACACGCTCATACGAGGGACGATCGAAAACTATACCGACTTTATAAAAGTCATTAACACCCGAACGCGCCTCGTATGTGCGTTTCTCTGTTTCAGTGGTACAGTAGGAGAAATTTCAGATGATTGCAGCTCTACGGCAATTTAAGGTATGGCAACTGAAATGTCTCTGGCTGTACGGACATTTTCTTTTAATATTATACATAATCATAGTCAGACTTACGATCTGTTCGGAGCGAGGTTTCACGGAAATAAAGTGGCTACGTTTCCTTATCTATTGGTCTTGTATAATGGCCGATGAAGAGCTAATATCGCACTTTTATAAGGAGGAAGATACCAGTGACATAAGTTGCGAATTTTTCAAATTTTATAAATGCCTGCATGCTGAGTTGTTAAATGCTCTGCAGTGTTTCCATAAGAAAGCAATAGTGTGGACCTGACCAACCTCACTTAGATTGAAACGTTTATTTTTACATTTTACATGACTTAATTTTGCTAGTTTGTCACTTATACTGTCCTCCATATATGGGTGCGATACTGGGACTTCAGCATGTTGTACAGCACAAAAATGCTATCTTGTAGTACGATACGTGTATTATTTATACAAAATAATAAAAACATGTGCAGCTGGGCAACAATAATTTAAATAGGTGCAGGCTCATGTAGGATTTTGATACTTGATTGAAAATTGGTCTTGTGTAAGCTCCCACTTTATTTTTCCGCAAACTCCAACATTTCCTCAGACACACCCGTATTTCATCCTTCATAACAATCACTCTTCACCGTTCACCCACGCAACATAATAACAAAATAGGTAGCTGCAGGCGATTGCGGCGGCTATTTCGGATCACCTGCATGGAGCCAGTAGTATCTCCAACCAACAAGGGCACGATTTGATCTCCCTGCGCGAATACTTCTGACCCCAGCCCTTCACGAAGCTGATTCGGATAGAGTTGGGGTCCACTGGACCGTAAATCGGATGCGTAAATGTCCACCTGTAACAAAAAAAAATAAACATTAATAATTATACAACGCAAGAGCAAATGCGCAGAACACAGATATAATGGGATGGTTTCCAAAATTTTCGTTTCGATGTCAATATTTTGCCTCACGAAAGTGTACTCTGAGTATATTCAGAAGTGGCAAAACTGATTCTTCAAATTTAAATGTTAAATTCAGCGCCACAGTTGTGAGGTAATAAAATTTGCAAGTACTTAGATGGTAACCTTACTTCTGACATAGAATAAGGTTTCCGTCGAATTTGAGGGAAATAACCCTAATGGTTTCTAAATTTCAATAAACGAATATCAGATTCGTTTTTTTAACACACGAAAGAATGAAACCAAAATGAACTGTATCATCCTTGAAAAATGAATATATATTTCAGCTTTTAAGGCCGCACGTCCCTTTTTTTCACTTTTTTTTCAACTACCAGTTTTTATCTGATTACTTCATAATGTGTATAGAGATGACTGAAAAACATCGTTTTTAATTTTGTTTTGTCATAAAATGCATTTTTTGTGGATTTTTCTTCGATCGTAACTTATTAACAAATGTTAGTACATCTCTGAAATACTGCTGCAAACAGGTGGTTGAAAAAAAATCTAAAAAAAAATGGACGTACCACCATAAGAATTAAGGGAGATGTTTGTTTCGGGGAGGAGTATACCGAAGTTTGAAAATTGAAGAGCAGAGGGGGGAGGAGGTGTGACAACCGAAGCGCTTCTGAGAGTGGTACCCCTTGTGATAATTGGAGAGCGGGGAGCACACGCTTGAGAAATCTTAAATCTTCGGAATCAAGCGTACTTATAGACTAGAAGGTGCATGAATGATGAAGAATCTACCTCTGTAAGTACATTTGGCCCCAGATATGCCTCTGTTATAAAGTGACTGTCCTAATGGTTGCGACAATTCATTTCACCTTTCTCAACACGTCAACGGGCATTTGGTGATTGATACGCCTATGTCAATCAAATTATGCAAAAAACCTGTCGCAGAAATGGCATTAAACGCATTTGCGGTAGGCGACCTGAGTTACTCGACACATAATTTTTGGATTGCCAGATAATGTAAGCCAGGCGCAAGTTCACCCGAAGTCTACTATGTACAGACGTCATTCACGATCAGTTTTGGTAAGATTGGTATATTTAGCCACCATGTTCTTTCCAGTCGCTGGAGGGAAAGAAGCATTGCCAGTATGACAACTTGGGCTTGTGTTATCGCCAACGGAAAAGATCAAGGAAGTAATCATTAATATTGTGAACATAGCCTGACAGATAATTCACTTTCGATTTTGCTTGACTCAGCTTGACTTGCCGCCCCCTATCCATTGATTGGAAACACCTTGGCGAATGGCGGACGAGTGTATCGTTCTTTTGACGGTTTTTTGGCGGTTACGTCTCAGTGCCATATGGAATGGTGTTACTCGGTCTTGCACACACACATGGATTTTGTGATAGAGGACAGTTACTTTCTGAAAATACTTCTAATATAGTCTGTCGACATTATACTTGTATTTTTAGGCACTACAACATTTATATCAAAGATCAACATGGGTAAACACAAATTTCACGCTCATTACATGTCAGCTATTATAATGATAGTGACAAGCATAAATGTGGAAGACTATTTTGATGCGAAAATTTTCAAAAAAAGTCCGCGCATAGTCAATTGCATAATGTATGAGTGAGGGAGATGGATGTAGGAAAGTCAGTAGTTGTAGTTCACCTGTTCACCTACTACAAAGTTTTGGCTAATCTGATGATAATTGAAACTTGAGCTTACCCGTAGTTTTGCGCTGCCTTATGGGGGTCGTAGACGCAAAGGCAGTGATCGGCAGGTACTCTAGTAGGTTGATGACAGGCCACCAGCATGTGCGATTGCTCGGGGGGTGGTGCCACGTCCAGGGTAGCGCTGTTTACGAAAATCGGATTGTCCGATCGGTTGTACACCCACACGCAGCTGTCCTCCTCTCGAGATAGTGTCACACCTGAAACAACCAAGAATGTTATTTTAAGACCTCTCGAACACTCACTGGTCATCCCAAAATCAAAGGACATAGTACAGACCTCAGTGGCGTGGAAATTTAGAACACCCTGCATCATGGTAAGTTGGGACTTTACACGACGTATAATTCTTGTAAAAAATAAACCAAATTTTGCCAGTAACAGAGACACTAGAATTTAAAAATAACCAAAATATTATATTCAGCGGACAGTCTGCGACATCAAATGCGACCCTGTCCCATAAATAGGCAAAAAGATACAACCCGTGGCAAGGGCGTACCCAGCTCAAAACGGGGGACACCTTGTAAAAATATTTGGTTCCACAAATACCGTTTGCATTTCATTGTTTTATCCATTTATATAGTCTTCCGCGATAATACGACAATTCATATTGATATGGGAAAATACTAGGTTTATTTTTTAAACATTCAAGCAAATATTGCACGAGATGCTTGTTAGATAATAATTTAGTCGCGTTGCAATACTTGAAAGCAACACTTGTGATGGCAAATTTTGCTATACTGCAAATTTTATATACCTATCTTTTGGGCGTACATATCGGTCAAAATTCAAACAGGGTGCTCATTTTTTGCGTCAAGTCAAGAGGCCGGGAAAGTACTGTAACGCGAAAAAACTTCAACTGAAAGAATAATTTTCAGATAGTAGACTAATTTTTTCTGACGCTCCTTGGCCCTCTATTACACACGGAAAAATATTTTTATTTTTTGTAAGAGTGACCGTCAAAAAAAACTAATTTAATCATTGGTGTTTCTATAACTTGGAAAGTATTACTGGATATTGAAGAAATAAATGATGGTACCAATATTGCTACCAAAAAACTCCCAAAAACTTGACTTTATATTTTGTTTTCGTTTCTAATGTTTGAGTTTGAGTTTGAGAGCAATCAAAAAATTTCTTAGAGGAGACAAAATTCAGAAAGAAGGCAAACTTTGTTTATTTTAATACGTAGTCAATAATTTATATGAAGAAAACAGCGATTGTGAAAAAAACTCGTTTCTCAAATTCTAATCATCCAGTCACTTTTGTATAACTCCAAACACAGCACGAGCAGCAAGAGGTGTGCAATTCGAAAATATGTGGAGTGGAATCTGCGTTAAAAAATCGGGAAACTGCTGATCCAGAATCGTGACAAAACTTACTTGATCGGGCTAACTAGCCACATATGAACCCTGTTGTAAAATAAATTGTACAAAAGGATTTACATATTCTTTAGAAAGAATGCTAAGGCTCCTCATCACCAAGTACAAAATTCTGAGTAACTTTATTAACGAAATTTAAAGTTATAAACATATTGAACACTTGAGAAACTGAATAAGACATTTAATTTTTGCCAAGAGCTAGGAAAAAGCTTCCCCCTGGGCACGCCATTGTCACGTGTTAATATTCAATCTTGGCGAAGCGCACTGTACAGCTAAACCGAGCTGTTTGTTTACAAATCGGGTTTAAAACAGCCGAAAATGCACATTCCTGTAGCAATAACAAACTTTTGAACTTAATGTCAGTTTACGGCGAGACACTGCTGATGTTTTGCGAATGTATCTCAGATCGTTTTCCTGAACGTTTCCATCTCCGCCACGAGGTTTATCTCGTACAAAAGTCGTTTGTAGGAACACCGAGGCATCCAGCAAAAGATCTGGGCAAGGAAGAAGATACCAGACTTGAATTTTTGAATTGAACAACGAACAGTATTTACAGGCAACAAGCGACAGTGCCGAACTTGAAATTTCTTATTAAATGGAGGTTTAATTTTTTGCAGCTGCTTCACCGGACATTTGGTTGGTTATTTCAAGTGTAGCTATTTCTGAAAAAGATGCCAAACTTCAGAACAAACCACACATATGCAAGATAAGGAATTCACAAGAACTCTAAAAAACACGGAAAAATCTACTTACCTAGTCCAATTTTACACCTAGTCCGTTGCACAGCCGCGTCAGGGGGTGGCGACCTGCCCCCTCTACCGTCCCCCCCGCCCCTATACCCATTTCTCTGCCCTGTCATCGCCAATGTCTCCAAACTGAGCCCGTCCGGATGGGCCACGTCCCCGAAGACGTTAAAACAAGGGCGGTCCACCGAGAATAGCGGCCCCACTCGTTCGGACAGCTCCCAGTACGCCAGCTTGCACCACTCGCTCGGGTTCGATGGAGTATCTGCAACAAAAATAGAAAGAAGTATTAGATATTGATAATTATTATAATCGCAGAAGTCATTTGAAGAGGGTATCCTCTAAGAACGCTGTCTTAAGCTATGTAGGGGCGCCTGTGCATACAGGAAGCTCGTGGCCTGCGACTGACAGGGCTCCAAGCCTAGTGCTTCCCAAGGCCAGGCTGCATTTTTTGCAAGACCAATCTGTGTTGCAAGTCCTTTGCAGATACTACTTGCCCAAAATATTGACATCTGAGACTTTCTTAGATGAATATGTTGAATGTTCCTAAACAGTAAAAATTTAAAAGGTCAAGCTACGAATATGTCACTTTCTTAAAGATATTGACTGAATAGTTGAAAAATTGTAGGTTATAAAAATTTATGTTTGATACGCACTAAGTTTTCCGCGCACTATTCTCCAAATTTGAACGTAATTATTGTGTATTATCAATAGAAAACTTACACAAAAAAAACTTATTTATGATATAGTGATTCTGTTCATGATACATCGCAGGGACTTGCATGCTAAAATGTTGACTGTCAGTTAAATTTTGTTACAGATCAAATTGAGAACAAACATTTTCTACATGCATATTCTGAAGTTTCAGCGGCACCTTTTCCTATATCTAACCACATATTATAAAAAACTAATTTTATAGGAATATTTATTTTGCGTCGATTTACTTCGATGTGTTCTTCATAAAAAAGGAATCAAGCCTGTTCGCTGCATCCAGCATATAAAGAATTTTGAAATGCCCAATTCATTGGTAGATCTATTCAGCGCCAGAGCTGTCCAATCTCAAAAACATGCTAATTGTTGAAATGGGAGGTTAATTTCCCTATATAGAAGTCTAGCATATCCAACACACCAATGTAATAGTCATTATATGGGTGCAACACCCAAAAAACGCGCTCCAATTTAAGAAGTGCATTATTGCATCTTTTCCATTACAATTGCGTTCGAACAGGAAGATGTCAGAAAAAAATCCAGATTTGATTGCCATCGTCACCACTTGCAAGAGTCTTGAACATAATTTCTGAGATTTAAGAAAATAAATAAGCACTTACTTCAATCAAGGGTAGGCCAAATGTGACTGATTTGGCACGTATAAGCCCACACATTCAAAAACAGCAAATAAAACCTGGGAATTGTTGATAGTGACATCTTCCTCCTTCATTACATTATAACTGTTCACGTAGGGCTCAGACATAGTCCTTTGTTTAATGATCGACGCAATTTTGTGACTGTCAGCAAGCTAAAAGGGGTCGTTTTGCACAAAATTCTCGAAAATGCCTGGACTAAAAATATTTGCTTTTGAATTCGAATTTCTGATCTCTCCTTGTCATGTTGGTTGTAAAAAATATTCAATTTCTGAATATCAGAATAGCAAAGCATCAGGTGCGATATTGGTTGTTCGATAAAGTAGCGTCAAGGGTGGCGGGAGTGTGAGGGCGAGGGGAAGCAGGTGGCGACGTCTACGGCGCGACGGTTGCCAGGTGTGATCGATCTGCATGCGAAATGCGAATGGCCTACGGTTAAAGCTTCAAGCGGCGAAGGAAAAGCGATTAGTTCAAGCGATTTCAGACGAATTGCAAATACTTCACTTTCTTGTCCCCATACTCGGGTACCAAAATGGAAGATAGTAGCATAAAAGGCGTCTTATCTATGCATGTATGGGTCTCTCTATCAGCTTGACAAAACCACTAGTAGGTGGCGATCGTCAGATTTCTACATACTTTCGCACAATGTCTCGAGTTTTTCAAAACACCAGATCCACTAAAATGTCAAATACGATGCAATCACTGTCAACTCAAACGAATTTCGACAGAAAAATGTGTACTAGCAGAATCAAATTTGAAACCGTTTGATACTAGTATTTTGACATCGCATGCGCGCTGGATGAGTTCACCAAAGGGTGTCAACCGGTGGAAATGTGATGCTAGAACATAACTAATGTATTTGTAGTTCTCCGTATCTATGAAAGGGTAAAATGATTTATTAAAAAAATGCCAAATATGTTGAGTCTTCCCTTAACACGCAACGCTGTCATCAGTTCAGAAAGAATTTGTTCGACAAAAATTAGCTCCGCTGAGAACATAGGAAAACTGAACAAGGGATATCCTTTTCCTGTACAATCTTCATCACCAATGGATTATGAAGTCATTTAAGAGATTGAACCTAAGTTTGTGGTAATTGGGAATCTAATCAGCGCTAAATGGCAAGCTGTCCCCTAGACTAAAGCAGATGGACGCTCTGAAAGCAACGTCTGGCGCCACAGGCACAGGGCGCGAGCCGCCGACCGACGTCACATTGTGTCGGTAACCAGGTCACTTATCGCATTCACTACTCGAATACTGTCTAGACGATATTGCTCAAGGATTGCAAACAAAAAGTATTGAAATCGTGTGAAATTAAAATTTGAGTGTGATTTGACATATACCCTCTGTGTCGGTCTACCCGGAAATCCTTGACCGACGAAAATTGAAAGGCAGAAAGAAAAACGTGTCTAAACCTATTTTGCGGCAAGGATTAAAATGATATAATAGCGTAAATCGATCGATCATATAGTGACCTTACCATGGTCCATCCAAGTTTTGTACTTTATTTTTGCACCGAAGGCGCCGCGCAGGCAGAAGCCTAAATGCCAGGGCACCGCTATGAGGAGCTCTAACTTGTTAATCCGATTTTTGAACTACCTAAGATAGTGGGACTGGGAAAAGCCTCTTCATATGTAGATTGATACAAAATCTCGATACCTTACGAAGTTCGACACGGTTAGGATGGGAGGCGGAAGACAGGCGGGTCTGTCTAGTAGTCACATCGCGCAGTGGAATCATGGAGGAGAGTTCTTAGGAGCAAAGCCCTTTGGCGTAGCGGTAGAAGAGAGCCAGATCACCGATGGCCTGTGCGAAAGGGTCCCGAGATTGTCCGTTAGAGAAGAGTCATCGATCAGCATCGAGCACGAACAATGTAGTCGTACGCAAGACTAGGTCGTATCTGGGCCTTGTACAAAGAGTGAGGAGGTCATGTGGAGAAAAGTACTTCTTAGCCCTAAACAAGTAGCCTAGGTATTTCCCAGCAGCTGCCGCTATTGGCGAGACTGTTCGTGCCAGATCAGCCAAAATGACCGGCTTTTTGGTAGAGCTCGGCCACCCATCGAAACTGGATCCATCAACTGCACATTGTTGCATCCCCAAGCAGTATAAGCCTCCAGGTCTCTAGCTAAAGAGAGTCGCTGCCAGTTTTCTTATTGTAGCTTTCTGCATAAAACGTCAAAATTATATATTCACACATAATATGACCGCTAAATTAACGCTATATTTTGATGAACACAACCACTCTCTAAAGAGGATTTTGCTTATTTTTTCAAGGACTCTATTGCTTGCATACGTGCAGTTTTTTGGACCTGGTGCTAATAAATCAGATCCTAGTAACAAGTATTATGCCTAATTAATAAATTCACTTTGAATTTAACGACTTCTGGGGCGTTGATAACCTCGTCGAAATGACCCTATTTGAGTTTTATAACCCTGCGACGTATTTCACGGCAGTACTTTCATGTTCGCAAAGTTTGTCCTTATTACAACATACCACGCAAGCTTATACACCTATTCGATACAGGTAGGAACAACAACTGTGTCCCTTACATTAAGGTTTTTTATATTACATGTGATTTTTCACCAAAAAATATCAAATAATGTAAAAATGATATATGTAATTTATCACAAATATAATAATAAGCAATATTAAATAGTATAAAAATGATATATGTAATTTATTAAAAACATACACCATATGGATAAACAGTAAATCTGCTAAATAATGTGAGGAGATGCATAGCATATGAAGTTTCTTATCCTAAAAATAATTGACCTAGGAACTAAACTAAACATGCATCCAATACAACAGGCAGGAATATCATTTTATCATAATGACCTTGTGTCTGTCAGTCTCCGAGGTTAGGTTTTTGAAAATCGAATTATTAAAAAGAAAGGAAGAGCAACATTTCAGAACTTTAATATTGGTTGTAAAAAGGCAAGCTTGAAATAGACTCCAGGGTCAAACAACATCAAGCTCAGATTTTTTTGAGGTCCTACATTTGGATATTTTTATAATATACAGTTATAAGGTATAACCAAGTTTAGTGCAATGAGTTCGATATTCCGTCTCGACTTTGAGGGTGAGATTGGTACCTCAACTCAACCTTTGAATTCTTTCAAGCTTAATCACACGGCTATGTTCATAATCACCTGTTGGGCTCTACAATATCTTCATTCATGTTTTTTTTACTATAATCACTATAATGCCATTCGAACAAAATATAAAATTAATTAACGGTCCAAAGTTGTGGTCCCAGGCTATTCAAATAATGTCTTCACACTATATTATAGATAAAATGCAAAAAGCTTAATTTTCGCGTGGGCTCCACACGACCAATTTTGTGATTTTATTATTGAAGAAAAAAGGTGGTACTGCAGAATGGATCCATCCGTGGGAAAGGTTTACAACAGGTATCCGTTAACTAATCTCTTAAGTGCACAAGGACATTGGAGACAATTTTAGTTTATCGTCGGGTGCCTAAAACCAATTTTTACATTACGGCATATTTGTGTGTCCGGGTTTTCCGATAAGAGCCCACTTGCTGACACATATCTTGATAAATGCGAGGACCGGCTCTTTTGTCTCCCCAACGTTGCCAGGTTGTCGATATTTCAGAAGATTTAAATATCTTTGATTAGTACCGTGGTACGTAATCAATTTTGGCTGACATGAAAAATATAATATAGCATCTAATCTGCAGGATTATGTGTCATGTTTGTTTTCCGTCTCTGAAATCACGGCCAACCGCACACAACCTATGTTTCGATTTCATTCAGTACGGTATAGGTCTTAGGTCCAGTTTGGGAGACAGACAAAACAGCGAGCAAAAAAGTAGATATGGTCTTTTAAGGCATTACAATACACTGTACGCGAGCAACCCATAACCGCTCTCGACGTTCAGAG